CTGCAACAAACCAAATGCTTATCGGGGAATGTGGTGCAGAGATATCAAGCCATCAAAAGTGCTGTGGCTGAAGCGTAATCAGTGATCTAATCTAGATTGTGTGCATATTTTTCAGATCGGACTTCAATCCCGTCTATTGGAGAGAGAACCACACACTATGAAAGAAGAACGGAGGGGATCCATCCACAATTACCAATTCTAGTGGATGTGCCTATCGGCAAAAACAGGGGTACATCTGTATCTCTGCTGATACTGCTCCAAATGGCATGCTCTTGGATGTGTTTGAAAGCTACATGATGCTCCTTTCGATATATATATAGTGCCTGGCCGTTTTCCCACCCCACCCAGCTGTGCAACCCCTACCGTTTATGTGCAGGAACCAGCTATTGCACCCTATTCTGGCTGCAGGAACGTGCTGCTACCCGCCACTATTGATAACTGTCTTGTAGGCAGCTACTATTCACCCAATTGGGGGCTGCAGGGTAGGGTAGAGTACCCGTATGCCAGGTATTAATGGCCAGCCAGGCCAGCCACAATATAAGGCTATTAATAGCTAGACAGTACCTTATGTGGGTTATTACAGCACTGGGGTTGCTTTTTCATTATAAATGGGGCTTATTACACCTCTGGGAAGGTACTGTCATTAGAATATCAGCTTATTACAAGGCTAGAAGACTTTTGTCATAAAGTACGTCACTTATAACAGCCTAGGTGTCGCCCTGTCATTACTAACAAGGCTTATTACAGCTCTAGCAGGGTGCTGTGATTAAGAATGAGGCTTATTACAGCTTGAGAGGCTTTTGTTATAAAGTACGTCACTTATACAAGCTCTGGGAGGGTGCTGTCATTAAGAATAAGGCTTATAACAGCCCAGAGGGGTCTCTGTCATTACAGATTTCACTTATAACAACACAGAGGGGTCCCTGTCATTGGAGAATTCACTTATTACAGCCCAGAGAGGCTCCTGTCATTACAGAATTTGCTTATGACAGCCTGAAAGATCACTGTAATAACTCTGCGTCATCTGCCTGTTATTACAACACAGGCATGCTTGTGATTGTTAGAACCCAACCAGGCTTTTCTACAATGAAAACGTGGTGGGTATCAGCATAATGAAGTGCCCACGTTCCTGGGGGATTGTATTACATTAGTGGTAACCACAGGTGGGACGAAATAGGTAAGATAGCACGTACATGCCGTCGTACGGGTAGTATGTGTACTTGTCGTGCAACAATTCAGCCTCCGTCGGAGCATCAGACCTAGACAGTGTCAACTCATTGACCCACAGAGGTTGTAGTAAGAGTAACGTACCGTAATATCTTCGCGTTCTTAGCAGTGTACCCGAAGGAAGCGATGTTGTAGTCCTCCACACACGTATCCATCTTCAGTTCCTCCGTGTGGACATACCGACGGACAAACGAATCTAAGGCTGTTTGCGGATCGATCCACGGATGATCCGGATCCGAACCCACGGATCAAGTGACTTCCGGGGGCTTGATCCGGATCCGCACGGATCAGAGCCGCTGGAAGAGCCGGAGCCACGGCTCCGACTCCGGCTCATCCGTGGATCGACCCACAGATCCACACATGTAATGTACCTTTCAAAAGATATATTGATGGTATGTTAAAGCTAATGTACTATCATTACAGGCTAAGCGGGGCGAGGGCATAGTGGGGGACACGGGGGACGAGGGGGACGCGGGGGACGCGAGCGTGACGCAGGGGAGGCGGGCGACGCGAGCGTGACGCAGGGGAGGCGGGCGACGCGAGCGTGACGCAGGGGAGGCGGGCGACGCGGCTGGCGATGTAGACGAGACGGGCGAGACACAAGGGACGTGGTAGACGCGGGGGCAAGGCGAGTGCAAGGCGAGGGCATGGAAGTTGACGCGGGCGTGGAGGATGACACGGGGGCGACGTGGGCGGGGGCGACGCGGAGAAAGCGGGTGTTGTGGTGACCGCACGGGAGACGCGGTGCAGGTGGGCGAGGTGGGTGACAGTGGAGTAGGCGGACAAGGTGGGTGTGGGTGACGCGGGCGAGGTGGTGGGTGACGCGGGCGAGGTGGTGGGCGACGCGGGAAATGCTGGCGACGCGGGCGCGACGCGTGCGGGCACAGGTGGGCGACGCGTGGGCAGGTGGGTGGCGTGGACAACGCGGGAATAGGAGACGGGCGACGCGGGCGAGGAGGTTGAGGGTGAGACGGGTGAGGGTGAGATGGAGTTGACGCGGGGGGGGGAGGGCAAGGCGTGTGGCGCAGGCGACGTCCTGAGGCGACGTGGCTGAGGTCCGAGGCAGAGAGAGGGGCGAGACAGCAGACGACGCGGATAACGCGAGGTAGGAGGGTGGACGGCGCCATGGCGGACGACGCGAAGAGCGGAGGGTGCGAGGGTGGACGGCGCCAGGAGCGCGAGGTGGACGAGGAAGGGGCGACGGGGGGCGGCGAGGGGGCGAGACGGGCTGGGGCGAGGTGGCGAGGTGGACAAGCGCAACGCGGATGAGCGCGAGCGCGAGCTGGCCAAGGCGTAGTTGGCACGGCCGGAACCTGGTAGGGGGAGGCAATGCGTGGAGCAGTGCGGGCGGGGGGAACTCACCAGAGGAGATCTGGGCCGCGGGAGCTCACCGCGACCCCACAGAACGGCCGCGCGCGCGCGCGCGAGATGACGCGAGGCGGGCGATGGTGAGACGGTCAAGGGCGCAGCGGGAGACATGGGGGCGACCGAAGGCGACGCGGACAAGGGCGACGCGGGGGCGACCGAGGGCGGCACAGACGAGGGCGACGTGGAGGCGAGGGTGAGCGAGGGTGTGGTGGACGACTCGGGGCAGCGAGCGCCGCGGGCGACACGGGGCTTATGGGCTTGTGGGCTTGTGGGCTTGAGGGCGAGGGCGAGGGTGATGCGGGCGAGGGATGAGGCGGCGAGGGCGTGGCGGAGAGGAGGGCGCCGGCGGGCGCGAGCGCGGAGAGCGCGGAGGGCGCAGAGGGTGGAGGGCGCGAGGTCAGAGGAGAGCGTGGACTTAGGTTAGCGCAGGGAGCATAGGGGGCGGTGAGGACTCACCAAATGAGATCGGGGTCGCGGGAGCTCACCGCGACCCCATGAAGATCCCCCCATGCCTGATAACAGCCTCGCGCGCGCACGCGATGACGCTGCGTGGACGCAGGGAGTGCGTGAGGGGCTGGAGAGGAGGACGGGCAAGAACACGCGCGAGACGCCGCGTTCGAATCCGAACATAGCCCGATCGGGACGGATTCCCGCATGCAGACGCCAGACGCGGGCGCCAAACACCCTGGAAGTGAACATAGGCCATGTTTTGTCTATTACTCGGTCAATTCTTGGCCAAATCACACAAGGATAATATCGTTAGAACGACGCTTCAAATGGATATTGAATAGTATCGGTTTTATAGTACATAAATACAAATATGAGCTATCACTCAAGAATCTGCGGATAATCCGTGGATCGAGCCGTAGATCCGCCAAATTTCAGCCCCCTCGATCCGGAGCCGCTGGGAGCCGGATCCGGGAAGAGCCGGAGCCGCCCGGCTCATGATCCCCGGCTCACAGCTCCGGATAATCGGCTCATGATCCGCCAAGTGAGCTGGACCTGCAAACAGCCTTAGAACGGAGCGCCCCATGGTGACTTAGAGGGGCGGATGCGGCCGGACTTCAGATTCTCCTCTAAGAACTCGTCGAGTGCGGCTTGTTGCGCGAGATTCATGGGGTACAGCTTGCCGCATTACGGCTCCGCGCCCTCCCTAAGTTCAATAACGTGATTGTAGGGTCGGTGTTCCGGCAACATGTCGAAAGCGCGTTCCTCAAAGACGTGGTGGAAGTCTTGGTACTGCGGGGTCACAATCTCCTCGAACGCGCGGGGGCGCTTCCCGCGGCTCTGCTCGATCGCGATGTCCATGGCTGTGGTAGTGCGCGCGCGGAGTCGCACTGCCTCCTCGCGCTCCGCGCGCGCGCGCAGCCACGCGCGCGTCTGCAGCGCGAACATCCTCTCCCCCTCCTCTAGCATGCGCTCGCATGTGTGCGGACAGCACGAGAACTCGATAGTCTTAGTTTTCCAGTCGATGCGCGGGTTGTGATGTTCGACCCACTCGTACCCGAGGAAGACATCCGACTTGCTGAGATTGGTGATCAAAAATGTCATTCGTTCGAGATGATCCCCGATCTGTACGGAGAGTGTCGCAAAATGCGTGATGCGCCCGCCCGAGTTCACCGTGCCGTCCGCGTTGTACACGTCCACCGCCCGCTCCAGCTCCTGCACCTCGATCCCATGTCTCCGCACGAAGTCGTGATGCAAGCACGACCCGGTACTCCCCGTATCCAACAGCGCCACCGCCTCCACTTGTCTCTCCCTCTCCGGTAGATGTATAGTAAGGGGAACGTCCATCTGTCTGCCGGCGCCTTTAGCACGTACTACTTTGAATAGCTTGGGTCCTTCTAGTGTAATACTAAATACTGTGTTCAACTTTATCTTTTGTGTATCTGCCGCATTCAGACTATTTTTCTGTTGTTTTTGTGATATATTCTCTAGGGAGGAATTAAGCGCAGTAGGCCGCCCGCCGCGCCGCACAAACGCGGACGCCTCCGCGGTGTTACCTACACAAAACCGAGACGACAAATGAGACTCTGCACCGTATCTACTTCGACTATCTATAGTATCGTACATAGCATGAGTTGATTCACGTAGGGAGGGAGAAGCTGAGGAAGCTGATGGGGACGATGATGATGGGAATGATGATGCGCGAGGGGGAATCATAGGGACCGAGACATGAGAACCTGGATAAGAATCAGAAATAGAACAAGGGGACGGAGATGGAGAGGGAGAGATGTTATCTTCTTCGACTTCTTCGACCTCCAGGACGGCATATCGGCTGCATGGGCACGTGCGCGATGCGGTCACGCCAGCCCGTAGCCAAAACCCGCTTGGCGGAGCACCTCGGGCCGCTCTTGAGCGAGACAACGCAGCCCTTCGAGGAGCGCCGCATCAGCCGGCTCCAGCTAGGCCGGTGGGGCCAGGGCTGCGTCCTGTGCCTGGGCCTGCTCCACCCCGCCTTGGTCGGCCTCCTGCTGCCGCAACGCCTGCGCCGGGCCGCCCACCGTGCGTTGCCCACCCCGGTGGAAGACGGCTGGGTGCCACCGGTTGGTGCAGTTGGGCGCGGGGGACATGCGTGGGCGCACGCACACCCGGCAAACGTTGTTCGTGCGCGCGCGATCAATGTCCATCAGCTGTCCGCCACCTCCGAACGTCGTGCCCGTCGCATCCCTGCGCACCGCAGGCGCTAGGGCCACCTGTTGCGTCGGTGCCGCGTTGCGCGCGGGGGCCTGCTGCTGCCACTGCGGACGCACACGGAAGGGTTGCTGCGCGCGACGCCCGCGTCGCTCCATCTCGCGGTCCTGCCGCCACATCGTGTCCATGCTGGTGACGCGCGCGCGCCACTCAAGGTACGTCGCGGGCGCGTGTCCGGGCCCCAGCGCGCGAAGAGGCTCCTTGTAGCGGGCGTTGGTGGCGATCCTGACGAGCTGCATCGGGATCGGGTCATCTGCGTCCAGGCCGGCCAGCCCGAGCGTCGCCTCCCACTCCTGGAAGAAGTCACCTGCTTCGCGTTCACCCTGTTGCAGGGACTGGATGTGTGTGAACGTGTTCGCCTCCGCCATTGTGTCTTGGAAATGATCAGTGAGATGCGCCCAGAACTCTGGAATGTCGATGTCCCATTGATCACCTGTGGTTACCCCAATTGTAATACAATTGCCCAGGAGCCTGCAGAACTGGTTTTGTTAACCCCCACCAGGTGGTCATTGTACTATATCCCCACCAGGGCATTGTAATAAGCCATAAGTCTAATGACAGAACTTCTGCAGCCTTGTAATAAGCCTCGCCACTAATAACAGAAGGCCCCCAGGGCTGTAATAAGTTGATATTCTAATGACAGCACCCTCCCAGGACTGTAATAATCCTTGTTTCTAATGACAGAAGGTCTCCAGAGCTGTAATAAGTCGGAATCTTAATAACAAAGTGTCCCCAGGGCTGTAATAAGCCTCGTCTCTAATGAAAGAAGCCTCCCAGGGCCGTAATAAGTTGGTATTCTAATGACAGAGCATCCCCAGGGTTGTAATTAGCCCCGTTTCTAATGACAGCACCTCCCCAGGGTTGCGATAAGCCCCGTTCCTAATGACAGAAGCCCCCCAGGGTTGTAATAAGTCGATATTCTAATGAAAAAGTGTTCCTAGGGTTGTAATAGGCCCTGTTTCTAATCACAGAACCTTCCCAGGGCTGTGATAAGTTGATACCCTAATGACAACAGCCCCCCAGGCTTGTAATAGGTCTCGTTTGTAATGACAGAACATCCCCAGGGTTGTAATAACTCACGTCAGGTACTATCCAGCTATTAATAGCCTCATATCGTGGCTGGCCTGGCCAGCTATTAATACCTGGTATACAGGTACCCTACCCTGCCCTGCAGCCCCCAATTGGGTAAATAGCAGCTGCCTACAAGATAGCTATCAATAGCAGTGGATAGCAGCAGGTTCCTGCAGCTGGAATAGGGTGCAGTAGCTGGTTCCCGCATGTAAATAGTGGGGGTTGCACAGCTGGGCAGGGTGGGAAAACAACCAGACACTGTGTATGGATCAAAAGAGGCATCGTATAGCTTCTAAACGCATCCAAGAGCATGCCATTCGGAGCAGTATTGGCGGAGATACGGGTGTACCCCCGTTTTTGTCGATGGGCACATCCACTAGAATTGGGAATTGTGGATGGATCCCCTCCGTTCTTTTGCATGGTGTGTGGTTCTCTCTCCAATAGATGGGATTGAAGTCCGATCGCGAAACGATGCACACAATCTGGATTAGATTGCCGATTACGCTTCAGCCACAGCACTTTTGATGGCTTGATATCTCTGCACCACATCCCCCGATAAGCATTTGGTTTTTTGCAGTCTCTTACATCAATGTATGAAGACACACTCTGGGTATTATCTGGACATGAAACACTCTAAACATGTCCCTGCGCATCTGTGCACGTTCAACACCACTTCATTCATAGCCCCACAACCTTTGCTCTGATCGCCATGCTGCTTGCTGCAACCATTCGGCATTGTAAAGCTGAACCGAAATCATGTTTCGAATCTTTTATCGCACATCTGATAGCTTTGGTAAACCCATATCTCACCTTCAGTTTACCCCCTGATCGGAGGCAACTTGTCAGTGTGATAGCAGCACATGTATCTGATCTGAACTCAGATAGAACACAGCTTCAAGACGCAAAAAGAATCTTGTTGATCGGCCAAGAATTGGCTGAGATGTCACAGCAGGGCCTGGAATGCAGTACTGAGCTGCAAAGTGTGGCATGAAACCTTTACACATAACACCCACATATGCAGGCATGAAGTGATGTACTTACCCCCCAATCTGGCAGTGATGCTCAATCGAGTTCAATAGCATACTCAAACATGTTCCATGAGTCATTACACCATTTCAATGGCTGTGTAGGCCCAATTGCAGGTTTGTGTGAAGTGAGAGGTGCAGCTATGAAGCAAAAGTGCACCCTGTTTCTACTACAGATGCTATATCTTCCTGAGTTCCTAACCAAATTTCATGATTCTTGCTGTGTTAGATACACAACGCAGAGCGCGATCCAGATCTGTAAGGTTCTATGTTATCAGATGATATGTCATAGCCCGGAAAAGGAATTGATGGGAAGAAATATAAGGAGAGATATGTCTGAAGTGTATGCTGATAACAGTTTCGAGAGTAATATCCGTTTAGGCAGTAAAGAATGAACATACTGCAGCAAGCAGCATGGCGATCAGAGCAATGGTTGTGGAGCTATGAATGAAGTCTACAGTGATGATTCGCCAGGTGCATCTGTTGTGACAGCCTATCAGCAGGTGCGGATGCATCTGGTGCCGGCCGGCCCGGTCACGCTCGACACCGCCTTCCCCAAGCGCGCTCGCGCACCCCTGGGTGCGACACTGTCCCGAGATGTCCGGACACCGGCGCCTCAGGCGCTGCCACCTGAGCTCGCTGTCTCTGACAGTGAGCTCGCCTCCCTATTTGTTTCACACCACATCTTTTATATGATTAGTGATAGAAATATATTTATTAGTAAACTACTACATAGGTGCACTAGTAAGTAATACCACGCCCCGCGACAACGCGGAGGCAGACGTAGAGGCGGGGACAACGCAGAGGAGGAGGAGGGCGACATGGGCGATGTGAACACGGGAGACGCGGAGGCGGGCGACGCAAAGGCAAGCGAGGCGACGCGGAGGGCTCGCGGGGGGAGGTGAAGGGCCAAGACGAGGCGGAGCAGGTGGTGGGCAACGCGGGCAATGCGAAGGGGGAGGAGGCGCAGAGCAGCGAGGGCGGGCGATGCGAGCGGAAGCACCTGTGGTCACCACGGCTGTATTACAATGCCCCAGGTACATGGGAATAAGCTTTTGCTATTCCTGAGGGTGTTGTTATTGTAACAAACGTGGTGAGGTCTTTAACAATAACAACGCAAGGGGGTCTTGTAATAACTGGTGCTGAGGCTGTTAAAAGCAACGTGGGGTTGTTAAAACTGGCGTAGGGTTGTTAAAACTGACGTGGGGCTGTAAAAAAGGGTGCAGGGCTGTCAAAAAGGGTGCTGGGTTGTTAAAACCGATGTGGGGCTGTTAAAACCGACGTGGGGCTGTTAAAATCGACGTGGGGCTGTTAAAAAAGATGCTGGGTTGTTAAAATCGACGTGGGGCTGTAAAAAAGGGTGCAGGGCTGTTAAAACTGACGTAGGGTTGTTAAAACTGACGTGGGGTTGTTAAAATTGACGTGGGGCTGTAAAAAAAGGATGCAGGGCTGTTAAAACCAACGTGGGGGTATTACAAAACGTGCCAGCTTGTTATAAGTGACGTGGAGATATTACAGAATGTGCCAGCCTGTAATAACTGACGTAGAAGTATTACAGAACATGCTAGGCTGTAATAACTAACACCAGGGTCCCACTGGGACCTACCTAGCTATAAATAGCCTGGTTCAGGTACTGCTACAGATGGGCATTCTGGCAGGTATAGTGGGCTGGAATTGGGGATAAATGGTTAGCTAGAGATGAGTATGGCTAAAAGGATACGTTTGGGCTGGTATAAGCAGCTGGAATGGGGAGCAGTAGCTAGTATTTACCAGTAAATGGGCAGCCTGGGGTGCAGCACAGGGTGGGGAAATCGTCAGGCACTAGTTATTTATCAAAAGAGGCACCTAATAGCTTTCTAACAAATCCAAGATCATGTTGATTGGAGCAGTATTGGTGGAGATACAGATGTACCCCCGTTTTGGCCGATAGGAGCATCTGCTAGAATCAGAACTGGTGGATGGAATCCCTTGGTTCTTGTTGTATACCGTGTGGATTGCCTCCCAATGAGTGGGGTCGAAATCCGATCGGAGAAAAACCCCTTCATTACGGAATAGATTGCTGATTACGCTTCAGCCACAGCGCTTTTGATCTCTCGATAGCCACTTCCCATATGCTCCGATAAGTGTTCTTCTTTTTGCAGTCTTTTCCTCTACTCTACGGAAAAGTGTTCTAGGTGTCATTTTAACAAGAACAGCCCTCTGTACCTTCCTGTGCAGCTGTGCACACTTGCAGACCTTTGCCTCACCCCTCCATAACTACCCATTATATCACCATGGTGTCTTCTGTGTCGAATTGGCACTGCTCAAGGGCCCTAAGATATGTAATGAGGCAAAGGTCTGCAAGTGTGCACAGCTGCACAGGAAGGTACAGAGGGCTGTTCTTGTTAAAATGACACCTAGAACACTTTTCCGTAGAGTAGAGGAAAAGACTGCAAAAAGAAGAACACTTATCGGAGCATATGGGAAGTGGCTATCGAGAGATCAAAAGCGCTGTGGCTGAAGCGTAATCAGCAATCTATTCCGTAATGAAGGGGTTTTTCTCCGATCGGATTTCGACCCCACTCATTGGGAGGCAATCCACACGGTATACAACAAGAACCAAGGGATTCCATCCACCAGTTCTGATTCTAGCAGATGCTCCTATCGGCCAAAACGGGGGTACATCTGTATCTCCACCAATACTGCTCCAATCAACATGATCTTGGATTTGTTAGAAAGCTATTAGGTGCCTCTTTTGATAAATAACTAGTGCCTGACGATTTCCCCACCCTGTGCTGCACCCCAGGCTGCCCATTTACTGGTAAATACTAGCTACTGCTCCCCATTCCAGCTGCTTATACCAGCCCAAACGTATCCTTTTAGCCATACTCATCTCTAGCTAACCATTTATCCCCAATTCCAGCCCACTATACCTGCCAGAATGCCCATCTGTAGCAGTACCTGAACCAGGCTATTTATAGCTAGGTAGGTCCCAGTGGGACCCTGGTGTTAGTTATTACAGCCTAGCATGTTCTGTAATACTTCTACGTCAGTTATTACAGGCTGGCACATTCTGTAATATCTCCACGTCACTTATAACAAGCTGGCACGTTTTGTAATACCCCCACGTTGGTTTTAACAGCCCTGCATCCTTTTTTTACAGCCCCACGTCAATTTTAACAACCCCACGTCAGTTTTAACAACCCTACGTCAGTTTTAACAGCCCTGCACCCTTTTTTACAGCCCCACGTCGATTTTAACAACCCAGCATCTTTTTTAACAGCCCCACGTCGATTTTAACAGCCCCACGTCGGTTTTAACAGCCCCACATCGGTTTTAACAACCCAGCACCCTTTTTGACAGCCCTGCACCCTTTTTTACAGCCCCACGTCAGTTTTAACAACCCTACGCCAGTTTTAACAACCCCACGTTGCTTTTAACAGCCTCAGCACCAGTTATTACAAGACCCCCTTGCGTTGTTATTGTTAAAGACCTCACCACGTTTGTTACAATAACAACACCCTCAGGAATAGCAAAAGCTTATTCCCATGTACCTGGGGCATTGTAATACAGCCGTGGTGACCACAGGTGGCAGAAGGACGACGTGGGTGGGGGAGGTAACGTCGGTGGAGGACATGACGTGGGCTGGGACGACACTGAGGAGGGCCGCGTGGGCGGAGGAGGTGGGTGGAGGAGGGTGACGCGGAGGGCTCGCGGGAGGAGGCGGAGGCAGAGGAGGTCAGAGTGGGCGGAAGAGTGCGAGGAGGCGAGTGAGGCGGGCAGAGGCGGGCGATAAGGTGGGCAGCGCGCGCCTGGGTGGACGACGCGGGGGCGGACGGGCCGGAGGAGGTGGGCAACGCGGAGGAGGAGGACACGGAGGAGGGCAGACGCAGAGGTGGGGGGGAGCCTAGCGACGCGCGCGGATGCGGGCGCCAGGTACGCGGACACGGGCAACATGGAGGTGGGTGATGACGCGGAGGTGGCCGACGCGTGTGGAGGAGGTGGGCCGCGGGTGAGGGAGGCGGAGGAGGGTGTGCGGGCGCAGGCACCTGAGGTGTGCAGAGAACAGCACAGAGGTGGGCAACGGGGAGGAGGGCAGCGGCGAGGTGGGCCAGGCGGATGCGGAGATCGAGGTCAAGGCCGGCGGCAGGCCGGATGTACGAAGCCGGAGAGGAGAGGTGGGTGTTGGGAATGCAGGAGGGTGGAGCGGGGGTGTGACGGTCGGCGGCCGGGACGTCACATAGCCTGCCCGCAGGAGAGTCGTAGGCGAGCAGGACGACCGCCGAGCCGTCCGTAGGGCGTAGTCGTAGCAGAGGGTGTGTGTGTGTGTGTTGGTTGCTCAAAAAGTATGTGGAATACAAAATGCAGGTACATAGCGCAAGTCTGAAAGCGGTAGCCGAGATGATTGTAAGGTGCATGACGTAACGTGGACCGTTACAGGGGGACTCACCAAAACAAGGGCCACGGTACATCGCCGCGGCCCCCTAATTCTAATCTCCATGCTGAGAACGTCCGGGTGGACATCCTCGTGCGGTGCGGATGCGGCTGGCAAGGTGGGTGAAGGACGGCAGGGAGGTCGAGGTTGAGAAGGAGGGAGGAGGAGGAGGGGAGTTGAACGGTGTCACCAGGTGACACCGGAGTCCAATAGCAGACAAAGGACGACTGTATAGTCGCTATCGTCTGCCTGGACGGTGGTGGGGGTGGAGCAGGAGGAGGAGGAGGCGGGGGAGGGAGCAAGGACTGCGGGAGGGACGTGTGGTGTGCATCACAGCCACGCGTCGATGCGTGCCACGCGTCCTTGCCGCCCACCGAGGTGCGTCTCCACGGGCGCGCATCACGGATCGCCAGATCCGTCCAGATGCATCCGTAGCTGCCGATAGGCTATCGCAACGGATGCACCAGGGAAATCACCTGTGCTCATGAAGTGGTGTTGAACGTGCACAGATGCGCAGGGACATGTTTAGAGTGTTTCATGTCCAGATAATATCCAGAGTGTGTCTTCATACATTGATGTAAGAGACTGCAAAAAACCAAATGCTTATCGGGGGATGTGGTGCAGAGATATCAAGCTATCAAAAGTGCTGTGGCTGAAGCGTAATCGGCAATCTAATCCAGATTGTGTGCATCGTTTCGCGATCGGACTTCAATCCCATCTATTGGAGAGAGAACCACACCATGCAAAAGAACGGAGGGGATCCATCCATGTAGGTCGCGACCCATTGCTCGACGGCGGGTCCGCGGAAGTAGCTGAGGACGATCCCGATGTATTCTGCGTCCGATTGCGGCGGCTGCACACCCATCATCCTTTGAATCTGGCTGACGAAGCTTCGGAAGTTCGCGCGGGTGCCGTCGAAGTTGTCCGGTTGCGCGACGTGGGGGCGTGGCGCGCACGCGCGCTGTCCCACTCCAAGCATGTGATCGACGAGTTCCCCGAATTGCGCCGCTGACATCATGAGGTTGGTCACAGCCGCTGGTGGCGCTTCTGGTGGTGGCACCGGCGGCGGTGGCGGCGGGTTGGCTTCATTGTAGCCCGGGGGAACCTGGTCGTCATTCATGCTGTCCATCTCGGCCTCGTCGATGTCTTCACTCGCGGATGCAGATTGCAGGGAGCTCTCGTCGCTCTCGGAGGAGGAGTCCTCGGTGGTCTCGGTGGTGGAGTCGTCCGAGGTGACCGGCGTGTCGGGCCGGCTGGCACAGTGATTGACAAGATCTGCTATATTGGGAAATGGGTGGGGAAAGATCTGCTATATTGGGAAATGGGTGGGGAAAGATGACCTTGATGGCTTTGGGACGCGGCACGCTGGTAGGGTTGAGCCCGCTTGAGTTGGCCCACGCGCGATCCGCTTCGTCCGGGGTCGGGGAGCTGGAAGATCCTCCTGGCTTCCGGGGCCTCAACACCCACGCAAAGCCGTGTATGTAGTGTTAGTGTTCGTAGGGCCAATTCGGGGGACCTTTGCAAGCAGAGCGCAGTTGTTAAACCCCCTCCCAGTGACCCGTGGTGAGGTATGTGGAGGCAGATGTTAAGACAGCCCATTCGGCACCCCCCCAACAGTTCACTCTGCAAGCAACGGCCGTCTGTCTACGCGTCACTCAGACACTTATTTACTGCCCTAGAGTACCGTGCAGCTGTGAATCCGCTTAGCCCTGCGGTCCGGGCGGTCGTGAGCTTCAAGTTATGATACGGCTTTACCTGTAGCGGGCGCTGAGCGCGGGAATCTTCCGGGCGAAGCGCACGAAAGGTGGTGGTAAACGTACCAACTTGAAGCTGGGGTGCGTCCCCAGCTCCTGTGGCGTATATATAGGTAGATCAACTACTGTACAGTACCACGAGGAGAATACAAAGGCTGCGATGATGCACGCGTGAGTGGCTGCTCGCGTGTGCTGCCCTTGGCTTGGGCGTGATAATCTACGTGAGACGGTCCGTGAGCGCTCTGAGCGCGCGATGGTCTAGGCGCGCAAAGTGACCGTAACATGGAGAGGCTAGAACATCCATTGCAAGGCGATGTATTTTTGGGTATCTGCCTTTGGCTTCCTGTATTATACATGTCAGCTTATGAAATCTTACTCCACATTTAAGGCTCGAAACAGATCATTACCTGCCAAAACAACAGCAAGGAATCTCCTCCGTTGAACGGTGTGGGGTCTGCCAGATATGGCTCTACCTCTTGTGCAGAAGAGAGGCTTACAGAGCCTTGTCCTGCAGATTGAGAAGACTTCTCTGGGTGAAGCGCAGCATTGAAAAGCTGCCTCACCGCGTCTCTGGACGAGAGCTGTATAGGTTCCTCTTGCATATCGGCTACGCGAACACGCTGCTCGATCTGCAAGGTGGGATGCTCTGTGTGGTGCTCCAGATCACGCTGGTTAACCTAGTGAAGTAAGAGCTATCAGTACTTATGCTAGAATTTAGATAGTAGCATGGGTTAGTGTAGAAGAGACTTACCGCATCTACGAAGCGCCGCTTGGCCTCTACAAAGTCTATTTTGGAGTTTTCATCCAACTTGTAGTACTGGAGCTTGAGTGTAGGGTGCAGAGCTGGTAAAGCAGTGAAAATAGACTCCATCAACAGAATTGTAGTAAGCTTACCCATCGCCACCAAGTAGACGTCGCTTGCCAATCTACAGTAGCTAATCGACAGGAGCATCCGTTACGATAGCCTATCGGCAGGGTGCGGATGCATCCGTCATGCCGGCCGGTTGCTTCACACCGCCTCCCCATGCGGGCGCCACGTCCCCTGTACCCTTGATTGTTTCCCGCTTTCGTGCATGTGCTAGTGCATTATTATGGATGAAAATATATTTATTGTACACTACTACAGGAGGGGATAGGTGGAGGGAGGCAGAGGGCGGTGCGGAGGCGGGGGAGGCGGGCAACACGGAGGTGGAGGAGGGCTCGTGAGAGGAGGCATAGGGCCGGGACGAGGCCGAGGAGGAAGTGGGCAAGATGGGGAGGCGACACAGAGGTGGGCGACGCGGACATAGGCGACGCGGACGCGGAGCAGGGCAGCACAGAGGCGGGCGGCGGGGAGGCAGGCAGCACAGAGGCGGGCGACGCGGGGTCAGGCGGCATGAAGGAGACGGCAAGCGGGGCGTGCGGCATGGACGGGCGGCGCAGGGCAAGCAGCGCAGAGCGAGGAGGACAAGAGCGGCGAGGAGGAGGAGGAGGAGGAGGAGGAGGGCGGCAGCGCGGGTAAGAGCGAGGCGGGCGGAGGTGCGCGGTTTGGCGGAGGCGGGTGACGAGGAGGCGACATGGGCAGAGGAGAGCAACGCGGGCGGAGGAGGGCCGCACGCGCAGAGGAGGGGGCGTGCGGCGTGCACGGAGGAGGCGGATGACGAGGGTAGAGGAGGGCAACGCGGAGAAGGGCAGCGTGGAGGAGGCGGGCAACGCGGAGGCGGGTAACACAGAGGAGGGTGAGGAGGAGGGAAGCGAGAGGCCGATGCGGTGGGCAGCGCGGAGGTGGGCAACGCGTGCGGAAGTGGATGATGCGGAGGCGGGCGAGACGGAGGAGACGAGCAATGCGGAGGGTGACGCAGGCAGAGAGGCGTGCAGGCGCAGGCGGGTGGAGAGTAGCACGGAGGTGGGCGACACGGAGGGGGCGCAGTGGCGAGGTGGACGAGGCGGACGTGGAGGTCGGGGTCGGCGGCAGGCCGGATGGGCGAAGCAGGAGAGGAGAGGTGGGCGTTGGGAGTGCAGAAGGTCGGAGCAGGGGACTCACCAAAACAAGGGCCACGGTACATCGCCGCGGCCCCCAGACTCTGATATCCATCCTGAGGACGTCAGGATGGACGTCCTCATGCAGTGCGGATGTTGTGAGCGCAGCCGGGCAGATGGGTGAGATCGAGGTCGAGGGAGGGTAGTTGAACGGTGTCACCAGGTGACACCGGAGTCCAATAGCAGACGAAGGACAACTGTATAGTCGCTATCGTCTGCCTGGATGGTGGTGGGTGTCGTGGAACGGACTCTGGATGTGCCCTATGTATTATTTTTCGCCTTTTCCTCACCTTTTCTCTGCCTGTTACTATATTGGAAGGTTGTTCCCGCGCTTAAGCGCCCGTATCGCGCACTCACATAGCACTTGCACTTTGTGTCCTAGCCCTCATCTCGACCTCTTGGTCTTTGTGGGCTAGGTGAGTATCTCGATTGCCTGTATGTATGTAGAGCTATGTTAACTTGGTCTTTGTGGGCTGGACATCCCCCGTGTGACTCTAGTTTGTGTCTGCTTTGCGCCTAGTGCCGGCGACGCCTCTGCACCACTACATCGAGGTCATCCAACCTCCATCTCTACCCATCCACATCTCCCTCTCCTCCGATTGGCGTTCGCGGCCCGCTCCCATGTCAGTGGGGGCAGAGCAGGAGTAGGAAGAGGAGGGGCTGGAGGTGGAGGAGAGCAAGGACGGCGGGAGGGACGCGTGGCGTGCATCACAGCCACGCGTCGATGCGCGCCACGCGTCCTTGCCGCCCACCGAGGCGCGTCTCCACGGGCGCGCATCACGGATCACCGGATACATCCACACCCTGCCGATAGGCTGTCGCAACGGATGCTCCCGGCGATTAGCAGCTGCTCTGCCGATGCGATATCCATATACTTAGTCACCTTATCCAGTGCTGCCTGCGCTGCTAAGACAATCACAGGATCGGAAGAGTGCTCTCCGAGATACTCCCAGTTGTGTTGGAGTTCCCAGAAGCACATCAGGACCTTGGAGATTGTGATGTCATGACCGGATAGGGCCTGCTGGAAACGTGACGCCACCTGGATCACAATTAGTGGGAGTGTAGTTGATGCGGGTAAAAGCGGGCATACACTGAGAACCACCAACATCTTGTTGAGGTATTCTCACTGCACTTCTGAGAGTGCCAACTGAGAAAGAGTGTTTTTCGTAGTGCAGAGATCTATCAGTGCCTGCAGGAATTCAGATCTCGTTAGTATTTGAATAAGAAAAACATCAATCTGCAACACACTCACCGACTTGAGCTTGATGGCTCGCTTGACCATAATCTTGGTTGAAGTCCAGCGTGTCTTAGAGTCCTTCAAGATTTGTAGAGGAAGACCGTTTTCACTATATTCAGCCGATTTTTTGATAAACACCTCTCTTAGCTTGATAGAAGCCCTGATCTAGTAAGCCAACAACTTCAGTTAGATCAATAAAACTATTCCTGATAAGACTGACAACTCACTGTGTTGACAAGGTCTCTGAGTTGCTTAAGGACCCCAGCACCATGACGAGATTCCAAGATAGTGATGGCATCACCTGATGAAAGCGTGATTGCATGCGCGAAGCAGCTGTGTACTCTGCATAAATACTCGGACCACCTGAGTCATACAAGAGCTTACTCACAAGAGGCGTCGCTGCTTCTCGTCATAGGTGAGATCTGGATTCTGGATGAGGAACATGGTTCCGAGTGCCCTCATCGCAACTGTGTTGTTGGACGCCCCGTCTGAGGTTCCATTCCTGAGCTGTAGAAGGTTATCAATAACAGAATTGGGAGACGAGCATAACACCCTTGCCTTTCTGAGTATACCAAGCTTACAATATGCAACCGCCAGAGCGTGTCCAATCTGAACGCCGGTGTGACCTTCGTTCATAGGTACAAATGCGATAAGGGCCATCATGGGCTGATATGGGCGCCGGACGAGGACACCATCAATTAGTTTCGGGGGAGGTTCGTGGATCCAGTGCGCTACTACTGCCAAGTAAGACCGATTTATCATATCTGTCCAGATATCGAAACTACAAGAGATCTTCCCAGCCGATTTCTAACAAAATATCAAAACTAATTCCACAACAAGAATATCCAGGACGCACCTGCAGCTGCTGTCCCAGTGTACCAAAGTACTTGTCGACAGTGTTGATGACACGGGCCCGAAGGGTGTCTCGCTTGGGAATGTCTTTGTCCCGGAGATCATTCCGACAAAGCAGGATAATATTTCTGAAGGCCTGGTTCTCCACAACACGGAGAGACTGATAAACGATAGGTTAGTAAGCAGTATGAATACGGTTTACAAGGCCTGCTGCTCTGAGTATCATACCTGATCATCAGACACAATCCATGTCAGTATTGCGTCCACAAGGGCATCGACAGAGAAGCTCGGGCGGCGCTGTTCTTCCTCAGCTATTGGGAGACCGTAAATCTGCAAAGGTGTATGGTCTTGAAACTGCTCACGTTGCTTCCCTGCCAGAAGATCTTAGACGCGTCTGCCGTAGGTTCAATGCCCCTTCTCAGACAGTCTCGATACCAAAGGTCTCCGTGTTCTTTGATAAGGTGAGCCCTGGCCCCATGGGAGCTAGTACCTGAGGCGAAACTCTTTTGTCTAGAGTAGGACAGTGAGCACCGGGTGAATCACCACAAGACATAATACCACTGCACTCACCCGCAATAGCAGCAGACCCTTCTATCTGCAATAGGATCAACCGTGTAAAAGGGCTTAGTATCATCCCATACAGGCTTGGGCTGTGGTGGTGGGCGAGGGTTGGGAGCAAGAACGGCAGCGATGGTGGCAGCAGCGTTGGCACCGGACGAGTCAGCAGTGCGCTGGGGATGTGTGAAACCAGCATAAGGCTGTTCGCGGGTCCGGCTCACTTCGCGGGTCATGAGCCGATTATCTGGAGCCGTGAGCTGGGGATCATGAGCCGGGCGGCTCCGGCTCTCTGCGGCTCTATCCGCGGGTTATCCGCAGATTCTTGAGCAATAGCTCATATTTGTGCGTACCTACTACAGAAGCTGTATCATTCAAAAGCCAATTGAAGCGCCTTTCTAACGATGCCATCTGTGTGTGATTTGGTGGGAATGTGACCGAGATATTGGTACATTACTCACCTGTGGTTACCCCAAATGTAATACAATACCCCAGGAACCTGCAAAACTCGTTTTGCTAATCCCCACCACGTTGTCATTGTACTATATACTCACTAGGGCATTGTAATAGGCCCTAAGTCTAATGAAAGAGCGTCCCCAGCCTTGTAATAAGTCAATATCATAATGAAAAGTGTTCCCAGAGCTGTAATAAGTCACAATTCTAATGAAAGAGCATCCTCAGAGCTGTAATAAGTCAATATTCTAATGACAGGAACCTCCCAGCCTTGTAATAAGTCTATATTCTAATAACAGGGGCCTCCCAGAGTTGTAATAAGCCCCGTTTCTAATGACAGCATGTCCCTAGGGCTGTAATAAGTTAATATCTTAATGAAAAAGTGTTTCCTTCTTTGTAATAAGCCTTGTCTCTAATGAAAAAAGTTCCCCAGGCTTGTAATAAGGCCATATCTTAATGAAAAGAGTTCCCATGCCTGTAATAAGTCAATATCCTAATAACAGCAGCCTCCCAGGGCTGTAATAAGTAGATATCCTAATGACAACAGCCCCCCAGGCTTGTAATAGGTCCCGTTTGTAATGACAGAACATCCCCAGGGTTGTAATAACTCACGTCAGATACTGTCCAGCTATTAATAGCTTCATATCATGGCCGGCCTGGCCAGCTATTAATACCTGGTATACAGGTACCCTACCCTGCCCTGCAGCCCCCCAATTGGGTGAATAGCAGCTGCCTACAAGATAGCTATCAATAGCAGTGGATAGCAGCAGGTTCCTGCAGCT